TTTAATAAGTGAGACTAACGCATTTTCTTGAATTGATGAAAGGTCTTCAGAATCAAAAATCTTATTTGGATACTTTAGGCCACTCCAATTTAATTTTCTGTTTAACATAACATAAAAGTAGTTTATGACAATGAGGGAGGGTATTAAAAAAAACACAAATATAAAAAATACAGTAAGGGCTCTGACATTTATTATGTAATATTTTAGGGGGTGGGGGGTTGAGCATGTATTATATCAATATCTTATGTTACACAAAGAAATTATATAATTTCTAAATTGGCCAATAATATAAATCTTACGTGGGGGGAGGGTAGCCCTTATAGTAAATGGATATTACATAATAAATGTCAGTGCCCTAATTCTATTGGCTATTAAAAAATGTAAAAATGCAAAAAGTTAATACTGCAATTTGATTGGCTAATATTGTGTGTTTTTTTATGCAAAATTTTAAAAATAGGGGGGAGGGGTTATGTTAAACAGAAAATCAAATTGGTCTGGCCTTACTAAAAAATCATTACACCATTTTTGTAAATTTTGAAATTGATTATTTTGAAAGCTTTTTTGATAAATCCGTGTAAAGTGCAATCTAAGCTAATGAGCTTTTGTTTCAATCAAATGAATTTCAATGTGCTTAGCTAAATCCTCTAGAAGAAGCTCTGAAGCAATAAACATGAGTTCAAAAATGAATAATGTGTGTTGATTTTCTAGTAAAACCACTCCTCCGTAAATATATCTTAATTAAATTTGAATTAGTCCTAATATATACTATGAATATTATTAAAATATGCGTAACTTACTTAATAATAAATTCAAATTGTTGAATAGAAGCATCTTTTAAATTAATAGTTTTGATGTTATTTACATCTTTACCGGCGTTTTCTAATTTATTTCGGAAATACAAAGATCTATATCTTAAAACATTTGAATGTGCTCGAAATACTTTCGTATTTGGTGGTTCTCCAGCATTAATAATTACGTTAAAATCTTCTTTATCATTAAGAAGTTCAAGGTAATTGTTCGAAAGTTTTTCCGCTGCCATTTTTTTTTAGTTCAAAGATTTTGTAACACGCAGCTCAATTTCTAACTATATATATATGTATATATACTGTTACACTACAGAAAATTTAATCAACATTGTTACGTACAGTTTCATCAGTTTCGTCACCTTTCGTCACCTTTCACCAGTTTCGTCACCTTTCGTCATTTCGTCATTTGAGATTTTAGTTGACGAAAAACGAAACTAGGTTTCGCATTTCGTCAGCGCGAAACCTCAAGTTTTCGTCTAACAACTATACTCCAGAGGGACTAGTTTTCTATTTTAGTGTTATCTTATTTTAGTTGTTAGTAGTTTTATTTCTATTCTATTGGTTATAGGGATTTTTAGTTAGTACGAAGTAGACATAAAAAATCTTTACCTTATTTTGTAAAGTACACTTCGTCATTTGTGCCAAATATGGCCTTTATTCCATTTATGACCTTTATCCCTTTTAAGGTCTTTATTCCTTTTATGGCATTAGTGACAGAAATGGAATTACTTCCATTAATTCCATTAATGGCACTTCGGGGATTAATACCATTTCGCTACGAAGTTCAACCTTAAAACCTGTATTGAGATAAGCATGTAAAAACTATAAAAGCGACTCTTCTTCGTTTCAATAAAAAGAACTAACTCAGAGTTGGCACAAGTCAGAAGAGTTCGACTCAATTAAAAGTCTTTTATTCCAACTTAAACGTTTCGCTCAATTACCCCGAAAAGGAAATCTTATAATCCCGTTATTCCATAACAGAGCCTTGTGACATAGTCTAGAGCTCTATTTGGCCCTAATAATTCGGACCAAGTCTCTCACGCCTCTTTCCGCCTTCCAACATTAGGGTTCGAATAGAGTTTAGCCGTTGTAGTGTTGATTTGGAGTAGTTTAGTATTAGTTGATATCCGTATCGCCCGATTTTCCCAACTCCGATCCGGTTCACACTTTTTCAAATATCCGTATTTATATTTTGGTCGGAAACTTCCAAAACCAAAATTTTAAATCTTTGTCTCATATATACCTAACTTATAAATTTATAGTGCTTAATTATACATTATAATACTGTAATTCTTTAAATTTATTATTAATAAAACCATGAAGTTAATTGCATCTGGTTTTGAATGTTCAGTTAAATTTAGCCGAATTGCAAAAAAAAATCTTAATTTAAGCATTTTGACTATTCTTAAATTGTTGGATGCAGGTTTGAGCATATAATGGGACCTCAACTAATTAATCTGGATCTCTATATTAACGTTAATCCACGAAACCATTTTAGGCTTAAACACAGAATTTTCGTATATAATTATTAAATCTTTATAATTTATTATTTTTTCCATTTTTTCAGTTACGGCCATACACAGTGAAAAGCTCCGGAACCCGTCCGATCTCCGCCGATAAGCCACTGATGGCCCAGTCAGTACTATGGTTGGGGACAACATGGGAATACTGGGTGCTGTAACTTTTTGTTATTCGAAACTATTATTATTTACTTAAAATAAACAAACGGATTATTGAATTTTTTGTTTGTTAGATCCGTCATTAAATGACTCGTTACAGTAAATATATTTAATCAATTTTACTAATAGCCATTAACTGTTGTGTATAAAATATAATACTCGATATCAGTGTTTGATATCTAATGTTCCCGGCGTTTACAAGAACATTTAAAAAAATTGGGAACAATAGATTTAAAAATTAAGTCCAATTTAGGAACAAATAAGGAACATAAAATCTATAATTTACTTTCCTATAGAATTATTATAGAAAAATTAAAGTATATATAATTTAGACTGGGGAGTAGCAAAATTTCAAAAACTTCTGAAAAGAAAATGAATGAACATAAACGACAAGAAGTGTCAAAGCAAACATTTGAGCAAACATCCGATAAATTTTAAAGACAAAATATAAAGAAAAGACATTAATAAGAATATTAAAAATTTTTTAGGAACATAAATTTCTAAATTATGTTCTTAGGGAACAAAAAAAACTTTTCAGATATCCTTCACTGCCAGATATCTTATGTGAATCAAAATCAAAATGATTTGTTTATATTGAATTAGAAGGAATCATTAAGTAAATTCACTATATTAAATAATTGAATTAATCATCTAATATATTTTTGAATTTTATTCATATATTTTAATTTCTAACTCAAGTAGAAATATGCATTAATATTATAGTATTCGTAGGAAAGGTAGAAATATGCATTAATATTATAGTATTCGTAGGAAAGAAAAGTCCTATAATTATTAATTTTTGGTATAACTTTTTTTGGGAGTATAGAAATTTCGTACTGTACATTACGTTAGAAAAGTCGCACTGTACTTTTTATTTAATGTATATACAGTACAATACACCCCTTATTAGTATTATTTATTTCCTGGGGAAGTAGAAATTTTAACAGAGGTTACCAATGATAATAGCACATGAATGGCCCGAAGGCCATCCACGTACAGTACTATTATCATCGGTAACCTCTGTTATAATTTCCTACAGGAAATAAATAAATAATCCCCAGGAGCGTATCACTAGATGTTATAGCTGTTTTCAAAAAGGTGTGAACAGATGCAGAACATCATATTACGGGAAATTCACGAAGTTTCCCAGATTTCCGAATTTTTGAACTATCTCTAATCTGACCTTAAATTTTTACTAATCAGAATTTCTGATTCTTCAATTTCCTTCGTAGGTATATGGAAATCGTTGTTCATACCTTTTTGATAACAGCTGTAATCGGACTACCATACCTATTTCGAAGACCATTTTTCTTGTTTAAATTTCGAATTAGAAAATTAAACAAGTATAAAATTAACTTCTTTATATGAATATCTACCAGTAAGCGATTATGTAAATAAGTATATACTTTTCGAATCATTAATTATGAAACCCCATTATTCGAGTATTTTCATGAGATGATTTAGATGATATTAAATATTAAGCGTTAATTTACTTATTAAAAGTAAATATTCAAAAAATGACTTAGCCTTTCCTTTGACATCAGTAAATGGAAAAGACGCATAAACTTGAGCCAAAGCAAATTTTTGAGAACATGGCTGTTAGTATAAGCTCACTATAGAATAATGCTTTTTATGAATAAAAGCAATAGTATTTTTTTATTATGATATTTATGTATGTTTGAATAGTCATTAAAAAATAATAAGAATCTTTAAATAAAGGTTTTAAATTTATCCCAAATTTTGTTACTTTTAATGAATAAACTCGAGTAAATAAAAAAAAAAAAAAAACTTGCAAAAAACTTTCTTTTTGTACTTGTGCGTCTATTTTACTTCATGTTTATGTTTCTACTTTTCGATAATTTTTAGTTTTTTGATTTTTTTTTCTATTATATTTTCGCTGAATCTGGAATACTTCGTATTCTGATACTGAAAATTCACCATCTTTCTTTCTAATTGCCTTTTCATATGATAGACTACGCAAATACTGAAATATACACATCCATTTGATTAAAATCAGAACACATACGAAGATCATAAAAATTTGGACCATAATAACGACCACAATAAATTGCGCGTTTTGTGTTATCTTTTACGCGACTTAAAATAGAAGATTGAATAGTGCCATTTTTCAATGAAAAAATAAAGCTATCGCTATCTTTGCACCTTATATACTCATGAATAGTTTTATCCCATAGAATTGGATTATAACCACCAAGAACTTCATCGGTGTCTTTAACCTTCATAACGACAATAGTATTTACTTTCTTTTGACATAAATTCCAAAATGATTCAGGAGTAAAACCATCTCTAGTGCCACGAAGGAGTAATTTAAATTCATATGGGTTATTTGTTGCCGAATACATATCAGTTCCCTTATCAATCCATGATGCAATTTCGTTCGTATGTGCTTCATTAATAACTGTTGAAAATGATTCCGTGGTATGTGTTGGTAATGTTTGTGTTAAAATTATACGAGATGGAAGAATTGTTGATGATATTTGTCGATTTGGATTTACAGCTCTTTTCATTATGTCATTCCAAAGATTTCTATCTAAAATTTGATGATATGGTTGAACATTATTGACAATATTGATATTTGAAAATAATGGATATGAGGTAAACAATTTTGTAATGTATTTTTTAAAGCGAAAAAGTTTTCATTGGTCCAGTTTTCTGGTTCACTTGATGATAAGTCTGGATTTTGAGCAATTCCCCATTTAATTATATACTTCCAAATTTTTATTTCTTCAATTTGTAAATCACCCCGTTTAATAAGTTATACTAACGCATTTTCTTGAATTAATATAAAGCCTTCAGAGTCAAAAATTTTATTTGGATACTTTACTAAAAAATCATTACACCATTTTTGTAAATTTTGAAATTTATTATTTTGAAAGCTTTTTTGATAAATCCGTGTAAAATGCAATCTAAGCCAATGAGCTTTTGCTTCAATCAAATGAATTTCAATGTGCTTAGCTAAGTCCTCTAGAAGAAACTCTGAAGCAATAAACATGAGTTCAAAAATAAACGAAATGTCTTGATTCTCCAGTAAAATTACCCCTCCGTAAATATATCTTTATTAAATTTGTATTAGAATTAGTTCCTTAAATATACTATAAATATTATTAACATGAAATAACGTACTTAATAATAAATTCAAATTGTTGAATAGAAACATGTTTTAAATTAATAGTTTTGATGTTATTTGCATCTCTACCGGTGTTTTCTAATTTATCTCGAAAATACAAAGATCTGTATCTTAAAACATTTGAATGTGCATGAAATACTTTCGTATTTGGTGATTCTCCAGCATTAATGATCACATTAAAATCTTCTTTATCATTAAGAAGTTCAAGGTAATCTGTTGAAAGTTTTTCTAAATGTCTTGCTGCCATGTTTTGGTTTAAGGATTCAAAATCCTAACTATATATACTGTTACACTACATACAAATATATCTATAATTTAATTTTAATTTAACGTTTTTTGATTAGTCATATTCAGAAAACGTGATCGAGTGTGGGAATTTTGTGTTTCTGCACTTAACCGTTTTGGATTTGCCACATTAATATTAATATTAATATCGATATCCAAAAAAAACGTGATCAGAATGTGGGAATATGATGTTGACTATTCTAACGTTATCAATTTACATATGACCTGATTACAGAATTGAGACATTCTAAATTAAAATTAGCGTTAGTTATTTCCTGATTACGACATTCCGAATCTATGCTGATAAACGTTTTTGATTGGTTACCTATGCATTACGAAATTCTTTGATCATTTGAAATCTATAATAGGGTAGTCTCGAAATTTGTAAATTGAAATCACCTGAAACATGTAAATTACTATATACGTACCTGGCTTTAGCGTTAGCACAAAATATTTATATGGTCAATTGGAAATTTGATATACGATTGTAGTCTAAAAACCGGTAAATTTACAATCCGCTTACCCATAATAAGTTAAACTAAAGGTACATTTATTAATAAAATATCTTCGTTTTGAGTGCCTCTAATAGAGATCTTTATCTAATCGTTTTCAATCGCTTTCCCCAGAGAGTTTTCATAAGAGCGAAAGTAGGTGTTAATAAATTATAGGGCTTGTTTATTTT